AAATGTACCACATTTTCTCTATCCACTCTTCAGTTGAGGGGCATCTAGGTTGCTTCCATGTTCTGCCTATTACATATAATTCTGCTATGAACATAGTGGAGCAGATGTCTGTGTTGTATGAATTTGCATCTTTTGGATATATGCCTAAGAGTGGAATTGCTGGGTCTTGTGGTAGATTCCCATTTTTCTGAGGAATCTCCATACCGATTTCCAAAGTGGCTGCATGAGTTGGCACTCCCACCAGCAGTGGAGGAGTGTTCCCCTCTCTCCACATCCTCTCCAGCATAAATTGTCTTCAGTGTTTTTGATTTTAGCAATTCTGGCAGGAGTAAGATGCTATCTCAAAGTTGTTTTGATTTGCATTTCCCTGATGGCTAAGGATGTTGAGCACTTTCTTAAGTGTCTCTTGGTCGTTTTAGCCTCTTCTATTGAGAATTCTCTATTTAGTTCTGTGCCCCACCTTTTAATTGGATCCTTTGGTGTTTTGGAGACTTGTTTCTTGAGTTCTTTGTAAATTTTGGAGATTAGCCCTCTGTCAGATGCTGTATTAGGGAATATCTTTTCCCATTCTGTGGACTGCCTTTTTGTCTTGTGGACTGTGTCCTTTGCCTTACAGAAGCTTCTTAGTTTCAGGAGGTCCCATTTGTTAATTGTCGATCTCAGAGTCTGTGCCACTGGTGTTATGTTCAGGAAGTGGTCTCCTGTACCAACTCCTTGAAGAGTATCTCCCACTTTCTCTTCTAAGAGTTTCAGTGTGGTTGGATTTATGTTGAGATCTTTGATCCATTTGGACTTAAGTTTTGTACAAGGCGATAGACATGGATCTGGTTGCAGTCTTCTGCATGCCAATACCCAGTTATGCCAGCACCATTTGTTGAAGATGCTTTCTTTTTTCCATTGTATAGTTTTAGCTTCTTTGTCAAAAATCAAGTGTCCATAGGTGTATGGGTTAAATCAGGGTTTTCAATTCGATTCAATTGGTCTACCTGTCTATTTTTGTGCCAATACCAAGCTGTTTTCAGGACTATAGCTCTATAATAGAGCTTGAAGTCAGGTATGGTGATGCCTCCTGAATTTCCTTTATTGTATAGGGTTGTTTTGGCTATCCTGGGCCTTTTGTTTTTTCATATAAAGTTGATTATTGTTCTTTCAAGGTCTGTGAAGAATTGTGTAAGAATTTTGATAGAGATTGCATTGAGTCTGTAGACTGCTTTTGGCAAGATTACCATTTTTATTATGTTGACCATACCAATCCAAGAGCATGGGAGTTCTTTCCGTTTTCTGGTATCCTCTTTGATTTCTTTCTTTAAAGACTCAAAGTTCTTGATATACAGGTCTTTCACTTCCTTGGTTAACATTATTTCCAGATATTTGATGCTATTTATGGCTATTGTAAAGGGTGATGTTTCTCTGATTTCTTTCTCAGCCACTTCATCATCTGTATATAATAGGGCCACTGATTTTTTTGAGTTAACCTTGTATCCTGCCACTTTGCTGAAGGTGTTTATCAGCTCTCGTAGTTCTCTTGTGGAGTTTTTCGGATCACTTATGTAAACTATCATATCATCTGCAAATAGTGAAAGCTTGACTTCTTCTTTTCCTATTTTTATCCCCTTGATCTCCTTTTGTTGTCTTATTGCTCTAGCTAGAACTTCAAGTACAATGTTGAAGAGATATGGAGAGAGTGGACAGCCTTGTCTTGTTCCTGATTTTAGAGGAATTGCATTGAGTTTCTCTCCATTGACCTGCCTAATTTGAAGCTTGAATTTTCATTGGTTTCCATAGGTTACTTAGTATTTTCATCTTTTGTTAATAGATTATGACAAATTGAATCTGGCCTACCTCAAGGAAATTTGGCCTCTTTATCATTTGGACTGTGCTGTTGAATGCCCTTGATTATGTGATTGTTTGCGACAAAATAACAGCCACACATGTGTTCTGTTTATATGTACCACCAAGACTTCTAGCTCCTCCCATTGGATCAATGTTGACATTTTCTCTACTCACTTGGCTTATTAATAGTTAATTTCATTATTATTACTGGCTACAGGATAGAAACAAGTCTCTACTACTAACAAAAAATATGTAATACAAAGCAATAAACTATTCAATTTCCCCATAAAACAATTTTCTCATAAAATACTCCTCTGAAAACATAGTCTAATGCACGAATTTCTCTTCCTCTTTCTTAGCACTTTTCCCTTGCTCCTGCCTTGCACAGATGTAGTTCTCTAACTCATGTCTTACCTCCATGAGGAGGTTAGAATGTCTATATCTTTTTGCTAAAAACATGCTATTGCTGTAAATTTTTTGCTCACTTATATTTACCTTTATTCCAGAAATATTCTATATCGGCTATTTGACCGAATTCTGTTTTTAGGGACCATTTATGATGGCATATGGAGCCTGGTGGATCAAAGGGAGGTATCAACAATGTCATTTATCTATTGCTTCCTGAAGATGGGGATGTGGATTGTCCCTACATCCTCATAACAAACAACCTTTTGTAAAACACACACACAACAACAACAAAAAACCAATGAAAATCTCTTGGAATTGCACAATAAGAGAATGACTGCTCTATCAACAGGAAATGAGTACATTGTTAAATTACTCTGCTCAGCATTCTTTTAAAATTGTAATTATATCAGGGTTCTCAAATTATCCATAACATCAGCTTTTACAATTATTTGGCAAAAGGAAATTTAATATTTTAGCATCTGTTCTCTGCCTTCTTGAAATACACATTGGTAACCTCTGAGATTCCTCTGTCTTAAAATGCCTGGTCCCTTTCCTGTTCGTTTGTCCTTTGAAGCTCTGTTACACTCCTGCAGGTGGCTTGAGATCCCTCCCCAGTCTATCTAGTTACACGTCTTGTTTGTTTGCATCACAAAGCATGTCTTCCCCCCCATTGAAGAACTGCTGTGGTGACCTCTGTTAAACAGAAACCTCAAACTTAAAACCAAATTGCTTCAAGATTTCTTTTTCTAGAAAGGAGAGCAAAGGAATGTTAGCAGGAGAAATGCAGCAGAGAGAGGTAGAAATTTCTTTTGACTTCCCTCGTGTGTCATTGGGAGGACTGAGAGGGGTTTAGCGAATAATGCAAGAGAGGAGGGGCAGAGTTGCTCCCAGAATGACCTTGAGCAGTGGGAGCAAATGGGATGGTGGCACAAGGGAGAGGCTGGGAGCCCTGAAAACGGAGGGGCCTCCATGCCATGGAAGAAGAGATTTGCATTTCTCTTGAAAATTCCTTTCTGCCACTTGCGATACAGTTGTTCATTCTACACCGTCTTCCATTAACTATGAATCTGCAGAGTTAGTGTTCACAGCCCAATGACATTCTCAAAAAGTCATGTCTGTCTATTCCTCTCACACTTTCACACGTAGGACGTTTCAAAACTGGAGGGATTTACAATGGTCAGCTAGTCTAATCCAGTAAGCTGAAACATTTACTTAGAATATATAAATGTTATCTAATCCCTTGAGCAAGTTTCATGAACACATAAAAACTGGCATTTTATAAGCTCCCGTTACCTGGTATCTCTGAGATGAACCGTCAGATGGCTTGCTCTCTCATCCCTTTCTGGAATGAGGAAGGGCAATGAGCCATCCCAAAGGCATTGGAGGCTGGAGGTAGGCAAGAGTTTGGTAATGTCCTATTGTTAAGAGCTGTGATGCCGGAAAGCTTAGAGCTCCACACTGTGATGCCATCACCAACGAGTTGATTGGCATTCATGATATCATCACTGGGCAAGCATGAATGAAGGTCAAGAAGTAACAAAACAAAAGCATGACACTCAGACTCATGACCTAGGTTTAGTTTTACTAGCAATTGCTGATAATTTTATGGCCATGGAGACAACAGAACACTCACTTACGTAGTATTCATTAATAGATAACAACAGGGCAGGCATTTACCATCAGACCTCAACACTGAATTTAACGTGTGATTAAATTCATGACCACCATTCTGGGTCTGCTCGTAGCAGCAAACACTGTCAACAATTGAACTGGCATGGAGCGCTGTGGTCATGTCTTCAAACTTGTTTTCTGCAACTGTCTTTAAAGCAGGTAACAGGGAAGGGACACGTTTCTCTCTCTGGTGAAACTTCCCTGGCATCTTTGAGAAGAGGTACAGAAGGGTGAGTCAGAAAGCCCATTCCGAGGAGTGCAAAGCACACAACTCTGGAGCTCAGTCTTCCTGGTTAAGTGCTGCTTAAGTGTAATTCATGGGCTTAAGTGCATGACAAGCCAGAAAGCTAACTCCCGTTCTTCACTTTTCACCATGAACTCTAATCCTGATGATACACAGTGAAAAGCAATTGGTGCCAGGATGCCCGGGACTCCCATGTGGGAGATGCTCAGGAGAAAAATCACAAGAAAACATGTTCATATATGACAAGGTTCTTAGAGAAAATCAGTAGCCCACATTTAGCTGATGGCTGGGCCTTAGTTGATGTGTTTTCTGAAGTAACTTTGGTTTTGTTATCCTCCTTTCCTCCCTCTCTCCCTCTCTCCTCCCTCCCTCCCTCCCTCCCTCCCTCCCTCCCTCCCTCCCTTCCTTCCTCCCTCCTTCCCACTTGCCTTCCTCCCTCTCCACCTGCTTCTCTTTCCTTTGCCCCCTAAATTATAGAACCTGTGTCACAGTTGATCTATATAAATTCTGGACCGTATTTACCGTCTGTCTGTCTGACTCTGTTTTGCACAATAGAGTTTCCTTGAGTCCACCTCTTATCAGGCTGACCTCAGGCAGCAGTGAGCAACTCAGCCAGTTGATCCAGGGCAGTTGGGGGTCTGGGAGTGACCCCCAGGGCAGGGACCTCCACCAGCAGTAGGTAGTGCCTTGGGCGGAGCCAGGGCCAGAACTCTCTTGTGACTCTTAGTATAGTCAGGGCTTCTGCTGGGCTGGGCCACCTACTAATCCTGCCAGACGGACACCGGGGCGGGGTGGGTGTGTGGGGGTGACAAGGGACATATAGGTGGCTCGGCTGCTGGCAAGAAACACCTAGTACAGGTGAAAGGGTGGCGGTGAGAGGAAGTTCCCACAGGCTGAGTTCTTAAAGCCATGAAGACACAAGACTAATAACAAGGAGTGGCCAATTGGAGTCTTTTGGACTTGCCTGGAGCTCCACCCTCGGCCAGAGGAAAAGCCCCTCGGGACCGAGGCGGGAGCATCCGACAAGCTCGAGAAAAGCGCCACCTCTGCGCAGCGGGTGCGGGGCAGCGACCTGTCCTTTGGGCTGGCCATGGCGGCGGCCGGAGCTACGCGCTCGCGGAGTCCAACCCTTGGCCTTCCGCACCTACTGACCCTGGCGGTGAGCTCGGGGACCATCCCGGGGACGGGGAGAGAGGGACATCGGGGCCGGGCGGCTGGCCTAGGTGGGGTCGCCGGGCCTCGCGATGCCTTAAACTGCAGTTGTTGGAGGTGAGGGAGGGCGACAGGAAGCTGAGAGACCCGGGCTCCAAGGTCCCGCAGGGGAGGGAGTGTGGCCGCCAGCTGTAATAGGTACGCGCGCGGCTGGAGATGGGGGCGGGCGGATCGCGAACGCCCAGCCCAAACCCTGGCCTCGGGGTTCCCTGGGTAGAGCGGGGTGCGCCGGGGCTTTGCCGAGTCTGGAGCAGGTCCCCGGAGTCCTGGATATCCGTCTTCCTTGACTGAGGCCAGCTGCCCAGGGGGGCGACACCAAAAGCCAGTGTGGTGTCCTTGGGGTCCAAAAAAGGACTTGTTTCTCTTGTGGGTTGTGGGCTAGGGTTGGGATTCGAGAGAAAAGTGAGAGTTGAGATGAAGGAGAGAGAGAAATGAAGGGGAGAGATAGGGAGAGATAGAGAGATAGAGAGAGAGAGAGAGAGAGAGAGAGAGAGAGAGAGAGAGAGAGAGAGAGAGAGAGAGAGAGAGAGAAAATGGGCAAACAGAGGTGATCATTGATCCCCTAAATCTCTGAAATGAGAGGTGATCACTGATCCTTTAAATCTCTGAAATGTGAACATTAAGAAAAAAGCAGCCAGGACCTCTCAAGCCCTGTCTGAGGTGGGAGCCAGAACAGCAGCTTTATTTGACACAGTACAGGAAAAAAAAAAAAAAAAAAAAAAAGCCAGAAGCCTGCACCCTGGGGAGTAGGCCTTTGGGGAGTCTGGGATAAGAAAGCCCCAGATTGTAGTTTTATATGGGTCCCTTGGCCAAGGAAAGATTCACTTTGCTAGGTGCGAAAGAGCCACCAACTTGGTAGTGTCTTTTAGCTCTTAGCCTGCAGAGGTAGGCTCAAGCTGTCCAAGAAGGAAGTCTGCGAACCCTGTGTGTGTGTGTGTGTGTGTGTGTGTGTGTGTGTGTGTGTGTGTGTGTAAGTAAGTGAGGGGTCTGAACGGTTATGGTGTCTTCCATTATTCCTGGACTCTTTTTACAAGGGAATTCCTGAGTTTTTTAGTTATTAAAAACGTGGTTGATTACTGGATTTAGAAAGTCAGTTCCAAGGAATGAGTGGACTTTAAACTTTTGATCACAATTCCCAGGGGCAATTCATGAACACAGCTAGGGATAGGTACCTCACGATCAAGATTTTATGGCTGAAGAAACAGCCTAGGGCAAATAATGGTTACAAAATATGCTGCTGATGACAAAGAATGAACTTTGGTTGGTATCTAGTGAGGGAAGTTGCCACTTCCTTTCTTACTGCAGGGCCTTATTCTTTGAAAGAAAAGGCATGGTTAGTTAACTTTGTGGTATAGCATTGCCCAGTGCAAACCCACACACCTAAAGGCACATGCCTCAGACCCTTTAAAGAGAAGTGACTGCTGTGGGTGAATAGGCTGAAGTATAGCCCTCACTCCCGATCTCTCTTCACTTCAGAGTCCAGGATTGGGGGCTGGGTGGGGCAGGGATGGGTTGTTCTGGTTACTGGACAGTGTAGTGTGAGTTCCCTCAAGTAGCTCTAGGCTCCAGTGGGGTGCATGTGAACAGAGCTTTGCCAGCCTCAGAAGGGTGTGAGAAGTGCCAGGTCTACAGAAGAATACCTTTTTGGGGGGGGGGTGCGGCTCCCTTCACATCTCTTATTTCCCACACACCCAGGTAATCCCTTGACATTCCACAAGTCAGCTCCTCTCCACTTCCGAGTACTGCCCCACCCCACAGTGCCTTAACCACTGGAACTTTCTTCCTGAATGCCCCAATGGTGCTTTGTTCTCCACAGCCTTCTAAGATCTCCCTTGACAAGTTCAAGAGGGGTGTTCTGTTCTTCACATAATTCTACGCTATGATTGATTCTTTGTTCTGGAAATGAACACCTTAGAAAAAACTCTCTGATCCCCAGAATCTGACTCCTTACCCCGTTTCTTCATCCCTCACCCCCCTTTGTTTTCCATGTATGAGCTAAAGGCATAGCATGAGATCTTCCCTGTTGACAGGGTTATAAGTGTTCAGTAAGAGAAAATTAACTACAAACGCAATGCTGAACAACAGCCATGTGGACGCTTGTGTGTTATGCAACAGAAACTGTAAAGCTGTTAAGCCGTGGACTCTCCTCTTCCCCTGTCCCATGCCCTGGCCACTGCCTTCTGTTTACTACTTCTGTCTGTTTGACCACTGTTTTTCTTACTTGCAAATGCTAATTTCCCATGGGAGCCTTGTTTTAAGTCTTGTTTCTTGGAATGGACATACATATACTCCCCCCCCGCCCCCGCCCCGCTCCCTCCCTGCCCAGGGAATTTCATCTGCTTTATGCTTTAAAATATCACATTATCCTAAATTCATATTGCTGTTTCAGTCATTACCTTTAAAATACAAACCTTTATATTTCTACACACATGCTCTGTAGCATGCCACTTATAATATGCCAAAGTAATGTTTTTTCTTTTGGTGCCAGATATTTCAGTATGTAAAACTCCTGTGTGCCTCGCTCCTCATGGAAACGTCTAGAAGCTTCTTTCGCCTCATTACTACTCTTAATCCTTTATTGTCAAAATAAGTTCATCTTCAAAGATACTGCATGGGTCTCTTTGCTGGTAGCTGTAGCTTCTGCTGTTGGTTTTTGCTCTTGCTAATAATGTGGATAAACCTAGCTATATGATCGTCACACATGAACAGGCATATTTACGGATAGAAGTGCCATCCAATACAAAGGCAGTGATTGTGATTGTGATTTTGGAGATGTTGTCCTCTACAAATAGGTTGTATAGGGCTAGACAAAAAGCTATTTAATAGTTGATGTCATGTTACATCAGTGGTTCTCAACTTGTGGGTCACAAAACTAAATCAACCCCAAAACACAGATATCTACATTATGTTTCATCACTATAGCAAAATTACAGTAACGAAATAGCAATGAGAATGGTTTTATGGTTGCGAGTTACCACAACATGAACTGTGTTAAAGGGCCACAACATTAGGAATGTTGAGAAACACTGTGTAGCATCTTTAAGGATTGTAAGAATTATTGAAATTGACTTTGAGGCTACTTGAGCTAGGGAGAAGTTTTGCAAAAGATAAAACTGAACCAATACTTTATGCAACACACCACAGGAAATTTCACATAGATGAACTATTAAAATGCAAGGTGACACCATGTGGATATAGGAGAAATGTGATGAGTCCTATACATTTTCAGGTAAGAAAGCCTATCTATGACCCAAATTTCAACTTTTTTAAGTTGAGAAAAGCAACAATATAAAAGCAAACAGAATTCCCAAAGTAAAAAAACCAAAAAATAAAACCAAGCGAAACCAAAAATAGCAGCATAAGCCATTTTAAAGGCCAGTTGTAATACACTAAAATGTTCTTATAAGTTGGGAAGAAAAATTCTAGTATGAACAAGGAAAAGACAAATTCTCGAAGTAAAAAAAGATCATTAAAATATAAAATATAAAAATAAGGAAAAGTGAGTTAAAACTAACATTAAAATACCTTTTCATACTTAAAGGTGTTTGACAACATGCTTCGTAGAAAAGAATGTGATGAATAGAAAACTAACAAATCATTAGTGACAAATGTTGTGTATGTCCTTTGTGGACTGTAAATAGAGCAGGTGCAGGCAGTCATGGCGTTTGTCCTTCATAAATCATGTAGCTAATACTTTTGCATCCACATACTGATACATAGTCTTGCTTATTTAATAGGACTTTATGTGCTTTTAACATCTACATTTACCTCTGTTGCTCTTTTTCATAGTTTTTCCTGTGACCTTTTGATTCATTTCATTTAGCTCCAGGAAATACTGTGTTGAAATTTTATGGGGATCATAAAGATGTAGTTTAATTTAGGATTAATGTATGTACGTTGCTGATTTTTCTTACTGCGGGTAGACCCACTTTTCTTTCTGTGTAAATCCACCTATCTGCTTTGCAGAAATGTGTTTAGGTTTTTCTGAAATAGGCAGGTCTTTTATGGGGAACTTGTAGTAGAGGAGCATGGTGCCCACGGTCGGGAAGCAGACAGCAGTCAACCTTGTAGGCACAGTACCGAATTTACTCCCTGGCATTTTCACACATTTCGTTGCTTTAGAAAACAATTCCCTTTATAATATACTACTAGTTTTATTTATGGACAGGAAGAGTAGGATAACTGTGTTTTAGCCGCTGCTTCTCTTATGGTAATTCATTGATTGGTTTGCTCCAGTTTTGTAGGTAGAGTCAAAGCGAATGCAAATAGAGATATTCATCCCTCTTGGCAAACCCTAGCTCTTTTGTCTAGGATATTTTTCAATGTGACTTTTAAAGAACCTACGGTGACCTTGGAAAACTTACTATGTTTCTGGGTTTAGTAATGATATCATCTAATTTTCTGGTTGCTGTGAACAAACACCTGACTAGAAGCAATTAAGAGAAGAGTTTATTTTGGCTCTAGTTTGAGGCTATGGTCTCTTGGTGGGAACGTCGTGGCAAGAGCAAGGCTTCTGGAAGTGGAGCCCGTGGGTGCTGGCACTCAGCCTACTTCCTCCTTTTTGCTCAGTCCTGCACCCCTACCCTTGGGATGGGTCTTCTCTCTTACTTAAACCTCTTGGAAATGTCTTCATAGACATACACAGGGGTGTTTGTCCACTCAACCCACGGAGGAGGAACCACCCCAGTGGGGCTGCCTCCATGCTTTCCCTGTGGCATTGTGCTAATAATATTCAAGAGATTCTTTTTCTCAAGCCATGGATTTGAATGTGGATCCCAGGGCTATGCAAAGGCCACATTCACAGTGGCTCTGTCTCTTATTGAAGGTGCAACGGAGAGTAGCTTTCTGTACATTGTAGGTGCCTCCCGTGTTTCATTTCCCTCCCTCTCTATTGAGGACGAGAAACCAGAGCCAATCTCAGCAGGTCAGAAGTTAGTTCTGACTCTTCTTTCCTGTTGTCTGTGATTCAGTCTTACCTGCAGACCACACCCTTCAATTCTTTGCTACTTTCGTCAGTTCTTTGATGCCGTATGATGTTTCAGAATCTTGTTACTCATGGTTGCTAGTTAGTTTTCTCATGACATTCTTTGAGTTTTCTTACACGTCTTCAATGAAATGAAAGTTCTTTCCCCCGATTTGTTTCTCCATAGCGTTCAGACTTACCAAGCTGTAGTAGAAACCTGCAGACAAATCGTGTGTGTGTGTGTGTGTGTGTGTGTGTGTGTGTGTGTGTGTGTGTGTGTGAGTGCTGGTCACTATTTTACAGTGCTTTGAGAAACACCTGACAAAAAAAGATGTTAAAGAAAATGTTTTCTGGCTCAGAACTTTTAAAGCTTTAGTCCATGACTGATACCTTTGCTTTTAGTCTCACGTAAGGCAGAGACATCATGGATGAAGGTCATGGTGAATGGAAGCTGTTTATGTCTTGGCAAACATTAAGCCAAAAGGAAACAGGAAGGCTGAGGACAGGCTCCACCATTCCCAGACTCACATCCAGTGACCTCCTTAGGTGAATCAGGAGCCCACGCAGACTTTCCAGTACATCCTCACAATGCCACTAAATGAGACATTCATTTATAGCGATTGATCAAGTCAAGCCCACACCATCCTATCTCAATGATTGGATGTAGTGCCCAGAAAGCATGCCTTTGGGATCGCAGCTCACTTGTAAACCATAGCAGCTCCTTGGAATGTGTGAGAGGAAGTGCACATAGGTTGTTGACATTGTTCATAAAGTGTTCTACACTTTCTCTTCAGAACCACCTTAATTCTTTTTCTCCTTGTGCTACATGTGTCAGTCACTACAGCAGTGGTTCTCAACCCTTCCAATGCTGTGACCCTTTAACACAGTTCCTCATGTTGTGATGACCCCCCCGACCATAAAATTATTTTTGCTGCTGCTTCATAGCTGTACTTTTGCAATTGTGATGTGATGAACTGTAAAGTAAATACCCATGTTCTCAAGTTTTCTTAAGCGACCCCTGTACAAATGTCATTCGACCTCCTAAAGTGAATGAAACCCACGGGCTGAGAATCACTGTACAATAGATTTCTGTTTAGGTTTCTATCCTTCTCCTATCATGACTGACTCATGGCCACTCCTCAGTTAATCTCATCTGGTTCCTGGATGAGGCTGGCTCTCCCTGCTCTCCTCTACCAGCCTGTACTTCCGTGCCGTGGCATTTCCATACCCTATTGAGCTTGTAAATATGTCTTATCCTGGGGTTCAATTTTCATGCAGGTCATGTTTCCTGCTAGGTGTGTACTATGTACAGACTTTCAATGAAATTTGTTGAGGGTATGAATGAATGAATATCAGGGACACGGTTTCCAATTCTTGGCCAGTTCTTGTTTGGACCATTTAACTCTTCTACTACTAAGACTTCCGAGCAAGTGGCATGACTCTACCTTAGAACACTGCTACACCGTTGCAGTTGCTGTCCTGGCTCCTGTTCCCATGCGTCTGCTGTCTTGTCATGTAGTCAGCTGACTGACTGCTTGTGAACACCAGACAAGGCCACTCTGCAGCTTCACGCACCATTGCTTCCTTTTGCACTTGGAACAAAACCCGCATTTCCCACCATGACATTTTGCATCCTAATTAGTATGTTCCAGGCTGTTCTTTAAGTATGGAACTGGTTTTTCCCTCAGTTCATCTAGACTCCAGCCTTCTCTATCATCTGTCTCTGCTTTATTTCTCCCAGGACTGCTGTCTGTCCTGGCGGGATGTGACATTCGTGCACTTGTCTATTTGTTCATTGGCGCATTGCAATGTGATCTGTTGAGGGCAAGGTCTTTGCTTTGCTCGCTGCTGGAGCCTGTGACTCAGCCTAGCACCTCCTTGTCCCCGGCTGTCGGTTGAGTGGATAAGTGTTGGCTGAGTGAATGAGATATTATTTGTCAGTCTCCTTGAGCCACAGCCCTGAAACATGTGGCTGTGTCCCTCCTCCCTTGACTAGGCAGCCTGTGAAAATTCCCTTCTTTTAGTTGAAGTCTTTTTTTTGGCAGGGGTATTTCAATTTCATAAATGAAATGTAATATCTGTGTTGTTCGATCTCTTCTATATAGTTTAAATTGGATAAGTCCCGGTGCTTTAAGATAGATTGCAAATGAAAATTTTCATCCAAATCTAGTTTATGTTAAAGGACATCATACTTAGCAGCATGGTGCTGGTTGGTTTCCTTGCTTTTGGTCAACCATTTGGGTGAAATGAAGAAAATGGAGCATACATCTTTCAGAAGCACCCGCAGAAAAAGTTCACAACAGAATCAAATTTGGGTTTCCATATGCGTGATCAATTGGAATTGGCTCCCCGTAGATCACTAAATCGTTTAAAGTATGTGACGTCGAGTGTTTGCTACAATGGCTTTAGCTGTCAGTGAGACGGTATATCCTCAGAATAGGGTCCCATGTTTGTGTAAACTCATACCTAGACCTTGCCCACCCCTTCCTTGCAGCCACAGTGTCTTTCAGTAATGGTACCCAGGTTGGGTTCAACAGATTATTGCTTTGGTTCCATAGCTTCTGGGATAGTGAACATTTGTGGAAATAGTGTGCTGGAATGGTGACTTTATGTTTTTCTCTTTCTTATGTGTGTTTGGTACAGTCTTCCACATGGAACTGGGGGATCCTCACTCTGCTGTCCCAGTCAGTGAGGCACTAGTAAATTCATTTTACAAAATAAAAACAATCCTGAGAAAGAATATGGGTCCCTGCGTATAAAGTGCCTTGTAAAGAAGGGAGCCATGGGGACATGGTACCCTTTGATCCATCTCTTTCATATATTTCTGGTTTCTTACTCTAATACATAGTTCTTATTTTGTTACTTTAAGTCAAATAAATTTTGTATAACTATATATATATTTAAGTATTTAATGTTTCTTTTATGTAATTAAATGGATATTACTATGTAATTGAGACTTAGGTAAACTCTATTCATTAGGACCTGTGAGTGTGTGACACTAATTTGTTTGTTCTAGATCCTTGTACTTGCCTGTGATGCGTGTAAAGAAGTGATCCTTCAGGTCCCCTCTGAACTACCTGCTGAGAAGTTTGTTGGCCGAGGTAAAGGGCAGCTGGAGTGTGTGATACATCCTAATGTGGTGTGCTTTGTTAAAGTCACTGTGACATTTAGGACCATGAGGGATTCATGATTAATAGTTCAAAGTGAACAGTGCCATCATTTTTAACACACGTTTTAATATATCTTTATTGAAAAACGTGTGTTAAAAATGATGGCACTGTTCACTTTGAACCCAAACAAGATAAAAAGATTAAGTTCAAATAATAACATAATTTTTGACATTTATATTGCCTGGATGATATATTCATATGATAAATATGTATCTAAGAATTTGAGAAGTAATATTGAAAGTATTTCTTTGGTTTGACAATATTGTGTTTGGATTTTTATCAGTAAATGTTTTGCTATCTTACTGCATTTTGCTTTCACCTTATTTATTTATTTATTTATTTATTTATTTATTTATTTATGTATGTGTGCTGGGCATCAAACCCGAGTTAAGCAAACAATCTGCCCTGAGCTATGTCTTTAGCCCCATGTACTTGTTTTCATCGGTCAATTTTTATTTTATGTAATTTATTAAGTGTGTGTGTGTATTTGTATGCACATGTATACACATACATAGTAACATAGGGCAACAGATTTAACCCCCTTATATTTACTGGCCTGTCGATTCTTTGTAAGACTTAGTTGTATAGGGAAGAAGAAATCAACCCAATGTGACCATAATACGTTAACTATTTTTCATTTAATGTAGACTTCAGTAGTATTTCAATTCAATAACTATAGTATCTAACAGCGAATTGTAGTTAAGAAAAATCTTTTTAGTGCTGTGTCAAATGCTCAGATGCTGTAGCTCACATGCCTTTGTTTCAGGAGAAATATCTCTTTAAACAGGTGTAAAATAAGCATTAGAAGCAATACGTGTCTTTAGGGAGGACCTGAACCATATATGATTTTAAAATACTAAATATTCCTCTAGGAATGTGGTTTAAGTGTTTTGCCCCTCCCCCATGTGAGTACTGTATTTACTTTTGAATTCTGTGTTGCTAAAGTAACTGCTGTTATTTCCTCAGTGAACCTGAAGGACTGTCTTAAATCAGCAAATCTCATTCATCCGAGTGATCCTGATTTCCAAGTTTTAGAAGATGGTTCTGTGTACACAACCAATTCTGTTGTTTTGTCCTCCGGCCAAAGAAGCTTTACTATATGGCTTTTCAACTCAGACAGCCAAGAAGAAAGAGAGCTATCTGTCCATTTAGAGGTAAATGAGATGGTATGCGGGAAGTGTAATGGAGCTGTGTCTTTGGGGTTAACTGACCGAAGGAAGACGTGGAACCGGAGAAGACTTGGGGTGGTTTGGGTGGGAGGGGAATGAAAGCTGTGGGTCAACAGTGTCTAGTGAAGGAGGGAGGCTTGGCTGTGCAACACATGTCATTACAACTTGTCATCCCTCTCATTTGGGATAAGCTACACTGAGAACTTGAGATAGGACACAAGAGACACTTTTTAATTTTTCAAATGGATTTCCAAAAACAAGTTTGGATACTCTACCTCTTGCTTAAAACTTTTACCCTCAAGTGTATTATTGTTAACAGGGTCTCTGGGTCTTGTCTTTCTCAAGAAAAGAATTCAGCCAAAAGACATAGTTAAAGCAAATGTTTATTTAGCCAATCTGAGGCAAGCAAACGAACACCCCACAGAGACATTGGCTTGTGCTGCCATGAATTCTGTGTTGTGGATCTTGAAGAAGTTTTGTAAATATTCATAAGATGGGTAGCACATTTTGTGGGAATGGTGACCCTTTTTTGGTGTCGAGTTATGATGAACCACATTGATGTTTAGGAATTTTCTTTGTGTGATCCTCTAGAAAATCCCACAAATGGAGTGTGTGTGTGTGTGTGTGTGTGTGTGTGAGAGAGAGAGAGAGAGAGAGAGAGAGAGAGAGAGAGAGAGAGAGAGAGAGAGAGAGAGAGAGAGAGAGAGAGAGAGAAGGGGCCGAATCAAGTGCAGTGCAAGTTATAAAATGGTATGTCAGGCCATGGAGGATGGAGACCTGGTGTTAGGGCACATGAATGGGAGAATGCCTTTGTGCCTCAGTTTCTAATACAACAGGAGCAATCTAACTGTGGCTTTGAGGTGCTTAACCTCAAATGGCTCTGACTATCAGGAGGCTCAGACTCCCGGACACAGCTACAGCTTTCCTCCTTTGCCTCCCCTTTAACGTCTCGCCAATCCTGCGTCGTTGGCATGGCTTGTAGTCTTAGAAGGGAGATAACAAGGGAGAAGGTTTGGACCATGTATGTGCCCACTGATTATGACACCAACGGTCAAAGCAACCTCTCCTCAGTCCCTGGCCATTCTTCAGTGAAGTCTGAGCACTGTTACCACATTTCTCTCTTCGTTCTGACAGATCTCTGTTGGTGCCCTGGCTTTGCCTAGTTGCTGGTGAGTGGACTGTGCTTGAGGTAAATGCGGGAATGAAGCCATCCCCGTCATTGTCATTGTCATTGCATCCCCATGCTCTTGTGCTCTTGCATGACAACGTGGCAGCGGGAATTTGCTTTTCAGTGTTGCATCTGTCCTTCTAGCCCATCTCTCTTTCTTCCATGTCTCCACCAAGGTATTTCCTCAAGAGGACACTTGCATAACAACAACAGCAAGTCGTATTCTTTGCTCTTATCATTTTTGTTTCTGCAGTGTTGAAGATTAGTTTGGTTTTGAAGCACTACCATGGTTTGACACCTCCCTAGCCAATCTTCATGACAAGAGACAAATGTATCAGCTCTAATGTCTGGGAACAAAGTCCTCATTGACTTTAATAATTACGGTTTACCCTTTTTTTGTCTTCTAAATCCAGGTACTAAATAAAAAACTGCACAAAGATAAAGTCCTCAGCCGTGCCAAGAGAAGATGGGCTCCTATCCCCTGTTCCATGCTAGAGAATTCTTTGGGTCCCTTCCCATTGTTTCTTCAGCAGGTACAGTTTATTTTGGCTGCTAAGATTTGTCCTTTCCATTTTCAAAAAAATATTAATAGTTATTTAAAAATGGTTGTGTAAGTGCTGGAAATGTATCTTAAAATTCTTGCCTGTTTTGCTCAAGACCTTGGTTGAATCCTTAGTAATTAAAAAGATGTAAAGTAGTTGCATGTGAGCATCTGAATGGAAGGTTTAAGTGTCATGCTTCAACATTTATGTGGGAGTATTTCTTAGCAGATGAGTACACATTTTTCAGCTTTAGTCATGCAAAAGCAATCTATGAGAACTGTAAAGTTCATCTAGCATTTAAAGCATGTTTCTTGAATTTTTCCCCCTAGTCAACAAGTGTATCACATAGGCTGGGCACAGCCTATAAATTCCAAAAATGTATGCCTCAGTAAAGATTGAAATTGCAGAACTGAAGGAGAAAGACGGGCTTTGTAGTGGTTACTCCCAAGCCTGTTTCTTCCCGTCCTCCTAGTTTGAAATTGGGTTGTAGACGAGCGCACACAGTGAGTTCGCTGTTCTGTCACTTACATCGATCATTGCACTTTGCTCGTACTCACCCCGACTGCCCTGTGCTCCTTTTCATCTTCCCCACCTACCAAGTCGGTGTCTTTTCAAACAGTGATTTGTCTAATGTCTGTGTGTGTGTGCACAGCGATTTTTATTTGTCTTAAGTCTGTGTGTGTGTGCCTATGCGAATTGAGGTGAATCCCTCACGTATAGTCCTGGGTGGCGTGCGGACAAGGACATCAGATCCCCTGGAATTCGAGTTATGGATGGCTGTGGGAGCTGGAAACCAAACCGGTCTTCTGCAAGAGCAGGGAGCTTCCCCTACTCCCAGTCTGAGGTTCGGCTTTACCATGTAGCTCAGTTTGTACTCAATTTATTCACTGCTATGCTTCACAAGGACAGGCCCTTTCAGACATACGTGTACTTTTGCCGCGTTCAATCCCGTCCGCTAACTTCTTCCTCCCTTTCCTCTCCCACCAGTCTGCTTCCTCCAGCCCTCTTCTTTCATGCCATATATAAATGGTTACATACATTTTATATGTATATGTACATATATATGGATAGGGTTAGTGTGTATATATACACACACATACATACACAGAAATATATACATATATACACACATGCATATACACACACACACAAATGTGTATGTATACAGTCTGGGCTCATAAACAAGAGAAAACGTGATGTTTGTCTTCCAGAGTGTGTCTCGTCCACTTAGACAGGTCCGTGTTCTGTAGCCTTGCGCTACTTTTCTAGTTCTGTCGTCTCTGCTTTCCCTGTGCTGGGACTACAGGCATATGCCAGCATAGCTGACAAAATGTTTTTATTTTTTTATTTTTATTTTTTTTTGGTTTTTCGAGACAGGGTTTCTCTGTATTGTTTTGGAGGCTATCGGTCCAGCCCAGCCTCGAACTCACAGAGATCCGCCTGCCTCTGCCTCCCGAGTGCTGGGATTAAAGGCGTGCGCCACCACCGCCCGGCTGACAAAATGTTTTTAAAATACTTTGCCAAATACAAATTAATCTCAGAACTTAAATAGCCTGTCAATAGATAATCATTCACTCTTGTATTGCTATATTTTCTAACACAGACAAGTCCCAAGTGTTTGGTTCATGTATGCAATGCTCAGTCTTCACAATAGTCGTTGATTTGAAAAATAGCATTCTGCTATAGGATTTTGCAAATATCTTGTTTTTGAAAATTTCCAGTCATAATTCCTTATTCTGCTGCTACATTTTTTTCTAATACTGAATAAGAGAGGGGACTATTGCTTACTCTAGTAACTAGCAGTGTGATAGCATAAAAATGCTCGTGCCAGTTTCTGCTGAAATAAAGATCTGTCTCACGCTTACAATATCTATTCTCTAGATCCAATCCGATACGGCTCAAAACTACACCATATACTATTCCATCAGAGGCCCAGGAGTTGATAGAGAACCTTTAAAGTTATTTTATGTGGAAAGAGATACTGGAAACCTCTATTGCACTGGTCCTGTCGATCGTGAACAGTATGAGTCCTTTGAGGTAAGGTATAAAGACCATGTGTTGTATTAACAGGTGTCTTAGTTTGGGTTTCTATCACTGTGATGAAACACTGTGACCAGACTAGCTGGGGAGGAAAGGGTTTATTTAGCAAATGCTTCCCCACAATAGTCCATCACTGATGGATGTCTGGATAGGATAGGAACTCAAGCAGACGGGAACCTGGAGCAGGAGGTGATGCAGAGGCCATGGAGAAGAGGTGATTACTGCCTTGCACATCATAGCTTGCTCAGCTTGCTTTCTTATAGATGCCAGAATGCTATCCCACCAGGATTGTTCCACCTGCAGTGGGCTGGGCCCTCCCCCATCAACCACCAATTTAAGAAAATGCTCTACAGACTTACCCACAGCCCAATTTTATGGAGGCATTTTCTTAAACTGGGGTCCCCTCTTTTCAGAGGACTCCAGCCTGTGTTGACATAAAACTGGCCAGCAGAGCAGTTATGAATCTCAGCCACGGTGTTGTTCCCTTTTGATTTACCTACTTTTCTGTTTTCCCTGAGGTTTTCATTGGTGCTCTGGCTACAAATGAATTGACCTGAAACAAACAAATTAAATGAAATAAATAAAATTCAATTCTGTTAGGTTATTCTTGGTTTTATGTTTTATTTTTTCCAAAGGGGTAAAGACTTTGGCAGCCCATTTGTTTGGTAGAGAAACTCTTTGTGGAATATGGATGCCACAGGAGCCAAGGGAGGCTCAGCAGTTAGCTGAACCCCAGCCCTTGGCAGTGGGAGAATTGATCGCAGAGAGACGAGGAGGGTGGGAAGCCCTTAGCAAAGCCCACTCAGTCTTTCAGATGCTCTGTGGATTTCCCCTGTGGGCGTATGTGGGGGTCCTCTTTCCCCCTCAGCCTCTTGGCCACCAGATCAAGAGGGGAAACAGGCAAAAGGGGCAACAGAGAGCTTTGTATGCGGCCTGTGATCAGGAATGGAGACAGTCCCGTGGGAGACAGATTTCAGTGCATCAGCTCTTCTATATTCCAGAGTATATGGGATATGGACAACTAGGGAGCCTGGGGACAAACCCTAATTTGCATTGAGTGGCACTCTCCTATCACAAGGCTTAGTGTGTGGCAATAGGGCCCTATAGCAGAGCTCCTTAGCACAAGTCTTGTTAGCAAAGGACTGTGCCAAGGGTCAAGATAAAGATCAACCAGCATCTGGTTTAGAGACAGTTTTCAGATAAGGTGAGTCCTCAGGCCCAGGGACAGTCTCCAGAAAAGGGCAGGTGGAGAGCAGGAAGCCTCGCTGTGGAGGGAGGGAGTTTCCACATTGCGGAACTCAGAGAAAACTGCCAGGCTATGGCAGACTTCGACCTCTCACCAGCTAGCAATGTATTCCAACAGAAATATCCCTTCCGCTGTAAAAACCTGACCTCATGCTGGCTTGATTTCCCAGCAGGACTTGTTCGTCTTACTTATCTCATTTTCCTTTATTTTACACAGTTTTGAATGAGTTCATTCTTTCTTCACAAGGACACCAGACTAACTGCATAGACGTGCAAGCTCTGAGCTCTGTGTGTAAGCTTAGGATTGCTGTCGTGTGGCTTTCTAAGTATCCATAATGTTCTGCTGTTTCTATGATAGTTGTTATAAAGCTGATGAGATTTGCAATGTGCGTTATAAAATTAAAAGGAATAAATAGTAAGGGAGGCTGGCGCCCTAGAGAGCATACAGGACACATTGAGGCACCATATTCTCAGCACAAAGGAGATTTATTACCCCCAAGGGGCAAGCATGTGTGTGTGTGTGGGGCATACCTGCCTCTGGATTGGGCAGAAGTAGACAGAAGGCAGCAGGTGTTTCTGCAGGAGTGGGCTTTTCAGGAGAAGATGGGGAGTCTGTGCTAGGGTGAGTAGTAGGTAAATCCTGATGGGACGTGTTAGCCACATAATGAATTTTGATGGTTGGATCATGGTGTTCTGTCTCAGGAATGAGTCAGTGATCAAATAAGGGAATGGACTTTGGGGGCTAGCTTTAGGAATGCCACCTAACAGTTTTTAGCAAAGGCCATGTTTGTCATGTTTGGCTGTGTTTGCCGTGCGCAGGCCTGCTAGAGACCTTCATAAAACATCTGTAGCCACACATTTGTTCTTTCTAACCCCTGCTTTTCAAATGAAAACATTCATAGGAAATGTTAATGTAAATGCAACCTAAAACACTAACAGAAAGTAAAGTAATGTCCCAGTTAATTGTGCCCAGAATTTGTAGTGGGAATTAAGAAATATCCGATAGTTGTACTTAAAAATCTATGTGACTAAAATAATAGGACATAAAAATTAACGTTTTTGGTAAATAATAATAGAAAGTATGGTACTAGCGGATGACATACAGCAACGGTGAGGAAATTAAAACCATGCATATTAGAATAGTAGGTCAGTGTCAACAGGAAATCCGGTGTGTCTCTCCACATGACAGTCATGTCTGCACCCCGAAGCAGCTACAGTGGGAGAAGCAGTCTCCAGATGAGAGCCAATGCACTCTTCAGGCAGGCACACTTTAAAGCATCGTTTGCAGGCTGCTGAGGGTGTAGTTCAGGGGAGGGAGCATGCTTGACCCTGAAATTCATCCATGGCATCACAAAAACAAAATATGGTTATTTTCTGTAGATGGATTATTCTTTAGGTTGACAGCTCATTAAAAAAAAAACACTGACATGTAGACTTATTAACTACGAAAACAGCCTTCACTTAGGCTTGTTCCTAACCAGCTCTTTAACTTAACCCATTTCTCTCAATCTACATGACTTGTGTCTTTTACCATGCCTCCTGCATGTCCTGCTTCCTCTTTGTCAGGCTGGCGACTCCCCTTGCTTCTTCCCTGAGACTTCTCTGTCCCCTAGCCGCTGGTCAGTCAGCTCCTTATTAAACCAATCAGAAGGCGCCTTGGCAAAGACACATCTTCACAGTGCACAAAATGTTTACCCCACGATAGTTTTCACTCTTGCCTGACTTAATTTGCAGCTGACAGCATTTGCGACGACTCCAGACGGGTATACCCCAGAGTACCCACTGACCCTCATCATTAAGGTAGAGGACGAGAATGATAACTACCCGATTTTTACAAAGACGCTATACAGTTTCACCGTCTTGGAAAGCAGTGCAGTTGGTAAGTAGCCACACCTATGATACAGGACAGCCTGGATGGGCTTTGGTTCATAAACAGAGCCTCTCTGTGGCCACAGGAAAACAGCCCACTGTGGTGGCATAAACGTGGGCATGAGGAGGAGGAGGTTTCCTCTCTTCCACTAGTTTCCTCATTTGAAAAACTGCAGTTTCTTAGTCTCTTCTCCAGTAAATGGATTGTCTGTAGACCAGATTGTCAAGCAGACTCCATGCATCTGCCTGCCTCAAGAAATAAATTCTATCTCTCTGAGAGTGAATGAAATGCCTCATCTGTAGGTGAAGTCACCCAGCATTCGGAGACGTGTCTGCTGAAGTCCAAAAGAATAATTGGGAGGCAGTATTCTGCGCATGATCAGGAGTCACTGAGAACGATACAAAGATTTTCTCAGTCTTGTTAGTTTTAGGCAAAAAATTGAATATCAGGCTGCAATTTTGGGGAACTCCCTTAGGAATATTTGACCGAACCAATAAAATTTTTAGAAAGAATTGTTTCAAATGGTTAATTTAAGCACAGGCCTGCAAATAGAAAAAGAACTTAGGAATAAATAGAAAATCTCAGTAGAAGTTCAAAATTTACAGAGGGATATCGTACTCATTTATAGGAGCCCACATGAAAAATATGGTAAAAATAGATGCGGAGGTCACCAGATCCCCAAAATATTAGAACGTGAGCATATTTAAAAGGAAGTGTCATTTTATGCATCTATCAATTAACTTATAAGAGCCGTGATGCTAATCTGTAATAAAGTGCTCCAGAAGGTCTCCTGAAGTGGGCGGGAAAGAGTGAAATAAGCGACAGAGGTTGCATGAGGGCTTGGAAACTGAGCAGGAGTCTTTCCTCTGCAGGTTCTGTCGTGGGGGAGGTCTGTGCGACTGACAAGGATGAGCCCGACACGATGCACACTCGGCTGAGGTACTCCATCCTGGAGCAGCGGCCTTCCCCACCCACCTTATTCACTATGCATCCCACTACCGGTGTGATCACGACCACGTCGTCCCAGCTGGACAGAGAGGTAACAGACGCCAGCAGAAGAAGCTGGCCGAGAGCGGGGCTTTTAAGAGCACACTGCCTCAGTTGGACAGTGTTGTCAAGTGTTAGCAGATAAATATGGCTGCTTAAGAAACCAGATACATTATCCCTAATGAGAAATATCTTGAGGCGGAAAGGCTCCAAAGTAGGAACTTTTTTGAGCACTGATATGATGTCACAGATGGACAGTTCAACACCCAACCTCATGGAGATGTTGCAGCCGAAAGTACAGGCACACTGGAAATATGGTGCAGAATTACCTTTGAGCTTTGTGTGTCAGGTGTGAGTGCAACACACAACAATTTTGTGTCTAAATGTGGGACTGAAACTGAGATTTCCTGTGATGTGGATTCAAGTATTCTAAAATCGATGAACATCTGAAATACTTCTGGTCTCCAGACCTTTCAGGTGAAGGATGCTTAGGCCTGCCTGACTCTGAGCATTACCTGTGTATGTGTTTCTGGAAAGTAAGATTGGTTCCCAACTTTAGGAAATGTATGACTTTTATTATGCAGATGAAAGTCAGTAAGTGGTTAATTAATGACATGCTAATTTAGAACATCAAGCTTATTCTTCTCTGATTTTTATCTTTTATGAAATCACATTTTTCATAGGAGTGTATTTGAAGTATTAAACAGGGAAGTATCAAATGAAAAGAGTGGACCTTCTCAGGATGGGCAGAAATGTTTTATTTACCTAGAAAGAATTATCTCATCATGTGTCTCTTCAACAGTCTTGTTTATTTCTTCCCCTACATAGATAAAAATTTCTTCACACATGTAGCCTCTGCTCTCACCTCAGCTAACTGCTCAAACCCTTACTTGCCTGGACATCTGAAGTGCACCTTAGATGCAATTTTTATAAGATTTATAAAAATCTCAGCAAGCTCTCTTTCCCATAGACTCTTGGCAAAATGACTTTAGTAAAGTCCCCTATTGATGGATTTTCTAGTATCACCTTGGAAACATGTTCTCAAACTGTGTTAGATGTCTTCTCTCACCTTCTATTTAAACCTATCCTGAGCATGTTGACATTCTCTCTGAGAATATTTTACACGTATATTCTGTACTTGTACTGTGACTACCCTATTAGCCGTTGCATTCCCCCGGCAAGTACTAGTCACCTGAATTCTTATAGCATTTTTCTGGGCTTTTTAAAAAAAATAATCTATGGTCTTTAATCTTGTAGTAGCACATGGCTACTGGGTTTTACTTTGAATCTCAAAATTTCCAACAGGGGCTGGAGAGCTGACTCATCAGTTTGATCTAGCTGTGCTTTTAGGGGACCTGGGTTCAGTTCGCAGCACCACACTGGGCACCTCATAACTGTTTATAACTCCAGTTCCAGGGCATCTGACACCTTCTATTGAGCACATGAACTCTGTGACATGTGCAACGCATACATGCACTCAGGCACCTATGCATAAAACTAAAATAATAAAAAGAAAAAATCTTTATAGAAAACCTATCAGATATATTTTCTGATATATTTCCAAATATTAACAAATGATTAAACAATATGAAGCTACGTGTTTTCATTTCCCTTTATAACTTAATGGTTGACACAAGTGATCCAAAGTTATCATTAGCAACACATTGTTTCTTTTATTGAAGTGATTTAAGAAAATGTTTTCTAAATGTTCTCCTCTGGACAACTACAGGTTCCTTTCATGTATACATACTGCCCTTGAGAATAGAAACAATAAACAAACACAATAAAAACAATAGCAAAAAATATGAAAATGGCTTGTTAAGCTTCCAAATCAAAGTCTTTAAATGAACACTTACAGGGCTGCGAAGATGGCTCTGCAGTTAAAAGTGCATCCTTGTGCATGTTCTGAGGGGAACTTTAACCCATATCACCTGCTTGTACCACCAGCCCTAGAAGATTGATGCCATACTCTCTTTGAGATTTTCTGATCACCTGTTCCCCCTCCAGCATTCACATATACACATGAAAAATAATGAAAATAAATTAAAAAACATAAATGATTGTTGATGACAGAAACAGTTACAAACATTGGACACACAAAGAAATTTACTAAAAAGTGCTTGGTGTTAATCTTTTGATCTCAGGATTCCAGGTTTTACCTGTTGCTCATCCTTTTTAAATATTGGTGTTTCTCTGTCATCTGCAGATAACACAGATCAGCATTTTAGGATAAGAAAAGCCTATGTCCTTGCTTTCTCGCTGTCTAACAAGTTTTGATAAGTCTCAGTGCACTTTAACGCAAAGGAAGCATGCTCGCCTCCTGGCAGACAGCAGGGTGAGGTTTGGAGGGTAGTCAGGTGAAGGCAGCCATCATTCAAGCTGCGAACCTAAGAGGATGTGCAGGAGGGGTGCATCGGGAAAGGCGCATGTGAGTGGCGTCCACAGCAACACTCTAGTGTTTCTTTAGTTAATGGGGGAAGACAGGAAAGATGAATAGGGACAGAAACTGTGGCATGAAGATGGCTGAAAAGGAGAAGAGCAGTCATTTAAGTTACAATGCTTTTGAATATAAAAAATGTGCTTTGGATGGGACATAAAACTTTTTATTTCTGCACTGCTATGCATTACTAAATGTACTCACGACCACAGTCTTTCTCTCCCCTTTTGAAAGTTGGTAATGCTAACTGATTATATATTCTGGGAGTTGATTGCACTTTTCATTTGAGAAAAGACTCTGTTTTGTATAGTGATTGTACATTACCAGAGCAAGGCACTTTTTCTAGATGTAAATGCTGTTAGGCATAACAACGTTCCCCTAAATTATTCATACAAGAAGAGCTGTAGACCAGAAATCAAGATTCTACTTGTAAAGACGGTGCTTCTGCCTAACAGTTACATTTTCTTTGTTTTCAGTCAATTGACAAATACGAGTTGAAAATCAAAGTACAGGATATGGATGGCCAGTATTTTGGTTTGCAGACAACAGCAACGTGCATCATTACTATCGGAGATGCGAATGACAACTTGCCAACATTCACTCGCACTGTTGTAAGTGTGTGCTGTCTGCGAGAGAGAAGTGCATGGCTCAGTATCAGTTTTAAAGGATGTGCATCTCAGAGGCAGACGGATCTCTGTGAGTTCGAGGCCAGCCTGGTCTACAGAGCCGATTCCAGGACAGCTTCCAAAACAATACAGAGAAACCCTGTCTCGAAAAACCAAAAAAAAAAAAAAAAAAAAAAAAAAAAAGAATGATGAAAAGGATGTGCATCTCTGTCTGTGCCCTGTGGTTTGGCATGAAGTGCTCACAGTGACATGAAAGCAGCTGGGGGTTAGAGTTTTAAGCATGAGAACATGGTGCTTTGGAATTTGTAAGAATGAGACTTACTTCCTGTTTTGTGAAAGTTAGCTAATGAAGCTTTATTTTTTTTTTATTTCTTTAGTATGCGACATCAGTGGAAGAAAATACAGTTAATGTGGAAATACTACGTCTTACTGTTCAGGATAAAGATTTGGTTAACTCTCCTAACTGGAGAGCTAATTACACCATTTTAAAGGGCAATGAAAATGGAAATTTTAAAATTGTAACAGATCCCCAAAGCAATGAAGGCATTCTGTGTGTGGTTAAGGTAAGAATTAATTAGTAAATTAGATATTTGTAATTTATAATATAGAACCACAAGGACTTAATGTGAAGATATTCTGAACTTCACCAGATTTTCAAGGGTTTGATCTGATTTTCAACACATTTCCTGTAGCCTCTGAACTATGAAGAACAGCAGCAGGTGACCCTGCAAATTGGTGTAGTTAATGAAGCCCCGTACACGAGAGAGGCTAGTGCAAGGTCACCCATGAGCACAGCCACAGTGACTGTCACCGTGAAAGATGTGGATGAGGGCCCCGAGTGTATCCCTCCAACACAAACTGTGCGGATTCGAGAAAATGTACCCGCTGGTACCAAAAACGATGGGTATAAGGCGTACGATCCCGACAACAGAAGCAGCAGTGGGATAAGGTATTTGTGATGCCCTTGCTCCTCTCACATTTACGGTACTGGAAAAGCCCATACCCTCCTTTGTTACTGGCATTATGATTTGGCTCATGGTCCTCCTTGCTGTGTTATTTCACTGTGGTTAATAGGTACAGGAAGTTAAGTGACCCCAGAGGATGGATCACTGTTAATGAAGACTCAGGATCAATCACCATTTTCCGAACCCTGGATCGAGAGGCTGAGACCGTCAGAAATGGCATCTATAATATTACAGTCCTTGCATTAGACACAGGTAAGAAATCGGTTTTTAAGACAGCTACAGTATACTTCCTCAGTTTTAAAGCCAATGACATATTTTTTCTTTTAATCTCATGGTGCAAAGGAACAAACCCGAGTCTTCCAGGGCCTAGGCAAAAAACACTCTGCTACCAAGCTCCATCCCCAGCCCAACAGTATACCCTTTTTATCTTTTGAGACAGGGTCTCACTGTGTAGCCCTGGCAAGCCTGGGCCTCCCTATGCAGGCCACATTGGCTTTGAACTCCTAGAGATTCATCTGCAACTACTTCTAAGTGCTGAGATTAAAGGTGTTTGTCATCTTGCCCAGCCTACCAAACATGTTTTTAAAATGGGCTCCATATATTCTCAGTTTATTTTTCCCAAGTACAGCATTCAGAGCAATTAATTACTAAGTTTGCTGTCATTTATTAACTCTTGTCAGCTAAAAGTATCTGTAGTACAAGATACAGTTATAAAATAATGTGGTCTAAGATGGGGCCAATGAGATGGCCCTGCTGGTTAAAGTCCTTGCTACCAAGCCAGAAAACCTGTTTGATCTCCAGGTGAAATGAGAGAATGAACTTCTGAAAGGTGTATATACAAGACCCATTCAAAAGTCTAATTTTGTTATATGATGTCTTTGTTTGGGCATGGTGCATATTGACAAACCCCGTACTTGGGTATTAGAGGCAATAGGATCAATTCAAGGCCAACCTCAATTACATAGTAAGTTTGAGGCCAGCGTGAGTTACCCCTAGACAGTTTCCAAAAAACTTGTAAATGAACTTTGTGTATTTGTAATTAAATCAACATAATTCATTATTCTCTAACTTGCAAAATTAAATTATATAACTAATTTTATAAGATGGTTTAGGTATTACAACTCTAAGTTAACTCAAATATTCTCAGTAGTTAGTCTCCTGAAATATTGTTTCTTTACTGTGCCTTCCTCTTCTAGAATATGTATTAGATTATTTCTGCTGTTTGATTTCTTCAGGGTTTTAGTTGTGACTTCATTTCTGTTTAATAAATTCCCTTCTTCATGTCCTCGAAGATATAAAATGTGCTCAAGTAGAGTGAATGCATCTTCCAGTTGTTGTTTACATAAACGTTGCTCATGTGTGACCTAGTCTTGATGGGGGCATCTGCTATGCTCTGACCTAGCCTTGATGGGGGCATCTGCTATGCTCTGACCTAGCCTTGATGGGGGCATCTGCTATGCTCTGACCTAGCCTTGATGGGGGCATCATCTGCTATGCTCTGCCTTTGGTTCTCTCCTCCTACTTCTCTCCACTTTAACTGGCTGGCAGTTCTGTAGTGACTTGCACATACATCTCTGTGGTCTGTAGGTCAGAACCAGTTCTTAACCTGGTGGTATGAGGTGCCCAGGCTATGAGCCTGCTCTAGAATTACCAAGATCCAGCCACTGTGCCAGAGGATCTGGTTGCTGCAAGCTTGGTTTCCGTTTCCTTAGGTTGGCAGCTGTATGTAAGATGGGGCCCCAGGTACCGAGTGGTGAAGATTTTGTTTTTCTTTTTCCTCCATCTCTAGCATTCAAATCCTCCTCAATAAGTAGAAAGAGCAAATGGTTTAGAGACAGGAATCCTAGTTTCACGGTTGGATTTAGACTTCATAACCTCCCTGAGCCCTTGATTGCTTCATCTTTGTATGTCCCAGACTTCCCAACACAGTGCCTTGTAGCCTTGTATAGAGTTATCAAGAAGATCATATATGAATGACAGATCAATTACAGAAGTTACACCCTCAGTCCTAAGTTCCATTTACTTAATTTATAGGTGGCAGGCTATTTATGAGACTACACCCATAATGGTAATGTCTACATTTGGAAATGTTCCTCCACCCATGAACCATCTCCTTGAACCATTTTCTGTTTGAATTATCAAAAATACATATCTTCTACTGTCCAACTTCCCTGCTCCAAAACCTCAAGTATTCTCATTGTGTGTGCTGAACTCCCAGTTCTCTGCTCTAGCTTCCAAAAGTCTTCAGGTCTTGTCTGTGTCAGCTCCCACATGCCTGCCTTCTCCCTTTTCTCCACATCACAGGTATGTGTGACATGCTGTGCACACCCTAGAATTGACCTGCACTTTGAGAATCCTGTGTGACCCCCATCAGACTCTCTTCTTGTCTCTTCAAAATCAACTAAAACTTCTCTGTCTAGAATTTTCCATGACTGATGTAATGACATAGTGAATGAATGGACATGTCCAAGCAACAGTTATATGTATATGTATATGTATATGTATATGCATATGTATATGTATATGTACATGTATAATCCACTTGGAAGAAATAAGATTTTTCTTTTGATATTCCCTACATCGCTCATGGCAGTACTTGTTGCTGTAACTTATGCGTTGTAAGTGATTAATGAATGTAGATACTAATTTTGAATGTGTGATTTTCTAGCAAAAGAATGAAGGCATTAAACAATGTGTTCTTATTGCTCTGTATCTAGATGGGAGAAGCTGTACCGGCACTCTGGGAATCATACTTGAAGATGTGAATGACAATGGCCCATTCATACCCAAGCAGACGGTGGTGATATGTAAGGCCACCATGTCCTCTGCTGAAATTGTTGCAGTTGATCCCGATGAGCCAGTGAATGGCCCACCATTTGATTTTAGTTTGGAGAGTTCTGATTCGGAAGTACGGAGGATGTGGAGGCTCACGAGAATTAACGGTGTGTGAATCCAAACGTTGCCTTTCCCTTTTCAACCTGAGTTTGCTCTCTCTCTCTCTCTCTCTCTCTCTCTCTCTCTCTCTCTCTCTCTCTCTCTCTCTCTCTCTCTCTCTCTCTTTCTCTCTCTCTCTGTGTCTCGCAGTCTCTGGAAATAAGAGAAAAATTCATTTTCAGAAAGAAGACATGAGTTTTGGTGGCCTCTCCACTGTTTGCTGGTGATAATAGCAGGATCCCCTTAGGTATTCCCTAGATTTGCGCTCGCATCCAAACACTCATCTGCGTGGATGTTTTGTAACTGCTGGCCCAAATGTCTTTAAGCAACTGGGACAGTGAGCTCCTCCTTGCAGGGGTATCTGTGTCTCTGACTGTCCACCACCCTACTGCTTCTGACTGCCGCCATGCTGACATGTCACTGTTTTTGTGTCTAGGGTGTTCTTTTGGGGAATCTTCCTTGCTTTGGTTCCCAGTTGACCCATAGCCCAGAAGGGAGCTATGGTGCAAGAATGGCTGATGTTAACGTGGCTTTTCTCCGCTGCCACATGGATCACACCAACACCAGAACTCGTTTCTATCTCCTGTACATGCTGCCATGGGCTTTCTTAACTCGAGAACCTCAGCCACCTTTTGGGTGGCTTGAAACTTGAAAACACCAAATGTTCTTAAGCCCAGCTCTCTGTGTCCATGCCTCAATTTCCTGCTGACAAATGGAAAGAAAAGCTAAAAACAAAAACAAAACAAAAGTGCAAGCAGAGCCTGGGAATGGGGAAAGAAAAGCAAGGGCATAGCTAAGCAAGCCAAGGCAGTCTTTCTTGAACCAAGACGATCTGTAGGCTGACCAGATTTACACACTTTAAAGCCATATTCTCTTGTGTGTCTTGAGGAAGAGGAGAGGTTTTGTTTTTTGATTTTTCGAGACAGGGTTTCTCTGTGTAGCTTGTAGACCAGGCTGGCCTTGAACTCACAGAGATCCGCTTTCCTCTGCCTTGAAAGTGCTAGGATTAAAGGTATGTGCCACTGCTGCCCAGCTGAGGAGAGAGATTTTCATTTGTTTTTCTTAAGAAAAAAATAACTTTATTCTTGGATTTTGTCCTTCCTATTTGTTTGAGGTCAGAGTGTTATAGTTTAAGTGGCATTAAGAGAAAATTAAAAATTTCTCCTTGGGTAAGTAACATTTATGGAAGCAATGTTCTAGTCGGAACCCATATGCCATTTTGTCTCTGTGGCACATGGACTGAACCCAGGATCCTCGTGTGTCCTTTGTCTCTGTGGCACAAGAAATGCCTGAAGGGTCTTGCACTTGGTGAGCGTGCGTTCTCCCACTAAGCTGTAACCCAGCCCCCAAATTTTGTTATTTTAAAAATACCAGTCCTTGAAGACCCAGGAAAGCTTGAGAAATGCCAGGGCAAGGAGAATGTAACCAGTAGAAATCTAGGCATTACATGGGCGCATCATGTCCAATACTGGCCCATAGTATTTATTCTCTGGGCGCATCAGTTTACTCGTGTGTGAAATTGGATTATTTCTGGAAGTCAACAAGATAATGAAAGAAATAGAACATAACTCACTCTCAGTTCTGTGTTTTGGCTTATCACTTTGTCTTACACAATACACTGAATTAATAACTGATTCTATTGGAATCCCAGATCTGTGGTTTCTTGTCCTGTGAAGCCAAATTCACCTTGTAGACTTCAACACTGTACAGAAAATGAGCAGGCCATACTGGGAAGTTAAGGAGCAGAGCGATTATTCTATGGCTTGTGGCAGTCTATAGTGAGAATCATATTACATCTTTTGCTCTGAGCCTGAGATCCTACCAGCATTTGATCCGGATATTTCCTGCTTTTGACCTTAAAAAAATCCATCAAAACAAAGCAGCAACAAAAAACTCCAATTGGTCCCAATGTCCTATAAGCGTAAGTGTGCTTATGACCTGCCCATGAAGTAAACGTGTTCCAACCTGTCAGAGCCGACTATTGTTGATAAGCCACAAGTATTGGTGTCCATTTGGCACAATTTATGAAAACAAATGAGAGACACCAAGATTTCAGATCTCTAACTCCCCGACGAGTTACACATGAATGGAAATCTAATAAAATGGGTTTAATTGAATATACTAAAGATAGGACAAAAACTTACCTCCTACCACATCTACTAGATCTGGTAGGAAGAACTTGCTTTTGAATGGATAAAATACTTCATTACAGGAGCCAAAGGGTTGTCATAAAGAGGCAGTGTGTTAGTTACTTCCCTCAGTGCTGTGACAAAACAGAGGGCAGAGGAAGCTTGAGGAAGGGAGGGTTTATTCTGGCTAGTGTTTTCAGGATGCAGTTCACCATGGTGGGGAAGGCATGGCTTCGGGGCTTGAGGCAGCTGATCATGTTCCATCCACAGTCAGGAAGCAGTGAGGGATGGGTGCTGATGTTGAGGTCTTTTCCTCCTTTTTTTTTTGTAAGTCCAGGATCCCAGCCCATGGGATAGTGCCACCTGCATTCAGTGTGGGTCTTCCCTCATCACTTAAATGTCTCCAGGAATGGCCTCAGAGGCATGCCTAGAAGTGTGTCTCCTATGTGACTTTAAAGTCTTGACAGGTTGGCAGTGGAAGTTAACCATTGCTGGCAGTGTTAGACTAACTGTAACCGCAGTGTGTTTGCAGTGACTGTGGGTCAGGGGCTCCAGATCAGCCCCAGCTTCAGGATCGGAGCAATTGTATTAATCCACAAGTGTCTGTTTGTAGGGACGTGGGTATCTGTTGGATTACTGGCCACTTTTGCTGAAGAGATGTTTTGTAACAGCTGGTTTTATTATTTATTCAGATACAGCAGCTCGTCTTTCCTATCAGAACGACCCTTCATTTGGATCCTACGGAGTTCCTATCCGAGTTACGGACAGGCTTGGTCTGTCCTCAGTCACTTCACTGAATGTTATTATTTGTGACTGCATTACTGAAAGTGACTGCACAGCCCGCTCAGGAGAAAGGACCGGCTATGCAGACGTGAGACTCGGACCATGGGCTATTCTTGCTATACTGTTGGGCATAGCCTTGCTGTTTTGTAAGTCCATTCTTGAATCTATCCCAAAACCTTTAAAAAATTTAAGACGTATTCTTAGAATGAATGTTAATACTTAGAGGTTGTGGTTTGGGCATAGATATATTTCTATTTAGCAAATACATTGAGCATATGTATTTATGTTTTTACATGTGTTTATCTTATTTTGAATGGAATGTGCTCTGTGTGAAGGTCAGGGAACAATTTTCAGGAGTCTGCTCTCTCCTGCCACCTGTGGGGCTCTGGGAGGGGACATAGGTCATCTGTTTGGATTTGGTGGCTCTGGGAGGGGACATAGGTCATCCGTTTGGATTTGGTGGCTCTGGGAGGGGACATAGGTCATCTGTTTGGATTTGGTGGCTCTGGGAGGGGACATAGGTCATCCGTTTGGATTTGGTGGCTCTGGGAGGGGACATAGGTCATCCGTTTGGATTTGGTGGCTCTGGGAGGGGACATAGGTCATCCGTTTGGATTTGGTGGCTCTGGGAGGGGACATAGGTCATCCGTTTGGATTTGGTGGCTCTGGGAGGGGACATAGGTCATCCGTTTGGATTTGGTGGCTCTGGGAGGGGACATAGGTCATCCGTTTGGATTTGGTGGCTCTGGGAGGGGACATAGGTCATCCGTTTGGATTTGGTGGCCCTGGGAGGGGACATAGGTCATCTGTTTGGATTTGGTGGCTCTGGGAGGGGACATAGGTCATCCGTTTGGATTTGGTGGCTCTGGGAGGGGACATAGGTCATCCGTTTGGATTTGGTGGCATCCACGTTTTCCTGCTGAGCCACCCACTGGCTCATGTGTTTAATACATATTTTTAAATATGTACTTTGCGTATTCTCAGCAGAATATACAGTCCACTGTTGAAGCATATGTGATACGTGTTTGTAACATGTCTGCTAAGGGCACACACACTCTGACACACGCAGTCATGTGTTCTTGAAAGGCGTTTGACACGTACCCTTTGACGCACCTTTTGTTCAAGGCAGACGCTTTAAGCACAGCTCCACGTTATGCACGAGAGACCTAAGGGAGCTCCCTTCTTTCTTTCCCCAGGTATCCTGTTCACGTTAGTCTGTAGTGTTTCCCAGGCAACAAAGCAACAGAAAGTTCTTCCTGATGACTTGGCGCAGCAGAACCTAATTGTGTCAAACACCGAGGCTCCTGGAGATGACAAAGTTGTAAGTCACTCACCTGCCTTTAGTAACCAAGGTCAGAGGACGATTTACTCTATACTGTGTGATCCTTGTAAAACCGGTTTTTGTTTTTTTTGTTTTCTCAACAAACTTCTTTTGGTGTCTGGTAACTTAGTAGCAAATGCCGTTTATCCCAGGGAGTCAATAAAATGCATATGAATCCCATGGATGCTACTTAGCATTAAGCAAATCCTTTAGTACGCAATTTTTTCTTATATGTGTCTCATGGCTTCAATGTTAGGCCCGTATTTGTTTTTTTAAATCTACCTAAACTGCTTTTTATGTTTTAAAATATTGCATTTAATTACTCACATGTCATATATATATTTATATTTAAATCTGGCTCTAGCAATAAAATCTCCACAGACTTTGATGACGGTGGGAAAAGCTTTATTGGAGTCTTGCTGACTGTAATGTGGTTTTGAAATGAGCCTGAGGCGGCCAGTCTAAAGCAGCACACAAGCAAGGGGCTGCCCAGTGGCTCTGGTTTCTTAGCCCAATACGTGAAGGAAAAACAAGCAAATATTTTCCAAAAAGCACAGCCGATGGCCAGAGCAGGCAAAGTCTAGAAGCACAAATAAACAAACAAAAACAAAAACAAAACAAAACAAAGCCTGACCATATTTGAGAAAAAGACATTGAAAAAAACTTAAATTGCATTTCAGGGTGTAAACACACAACCTAGAAAAGAAGTGACCAATGTGTTGGCATTTCTGGTATTTTCCTTCCTGGTTTATTGCTTGATTTATGTACACTGCAAAGATTACATGTAATAGTAAATTTTTCTTTGCATTTGACTTGGGAGGAGCGGAGGTCACTGTTGACTGAGAAAGCTTGTCATTATTTCTTTATCTTCTCTTGTCTGGTAAAGGGAGATGGGTTTAGCTGAGAAAGTAAATCCCCATGACACAGAAATGCTGCTTTCAAGGCACTGGAAGGCCATAAGGGAGCATGCCCAGCATGCTAAGGAGTATTTGGAATCTACGTCAGGCTTTTTGATCTGCACCCACAGTTTCTTTCTTGTGTTAGATATGACAGCCGGTATGGGGCACATGCTAGAGGTAGGGGTTGAAAAGACAGATGGAAGGAACAGATCCAGTCGCGTCTTTGGAAAGACTCCCTTGTAATGCTGTTCTAAGCCAAGGTGTCCTCTGTCCCCGCTGTTCCTCTTACTGTCTGTTCTTCCTCTGGGTATTTAACCGATGCATGCCTTTATCCTTTCAGTATTCCACCAATGGCTTCACAACCCAAACCGTGGGAGCTTCTGGGCAGGCAGCCTTTGGCACCTTGGGAGCCGGAGCCAAAGGTGGAGGGCAGGAGACCATTGAGATGGTGAAAGGAGGACACCAGACCTTGGAGTCCTGTGGGGCGGCTGGCTATCATCACCACACCCTGGACCCCGGCAGAGGAGGACGTGTGGAGGTGGACAACTACAGATACACTTACTCCGAGTGGCACAATTTCACTCAGCCTCGACTTGGTGAAGTGAGTTTCTGAGCTGTTCCCCAAGCTTATGGTGATATAATTTACATGTTACAAAAGGTTCCAACTTTGTGTTTGTGTAGACTGCTGCTTTTAATGAATCGTGAATCTGCTTATTGGAAAGTTACTATTTTTGATTAATTTGGGCTTAATTATGTTCAGATTAATGTAGTCATTCACTTTCCCATATATTTTATTTGATTTTGTTACTCTCTTTGTTGTTACTTTTTGGTCTCTTGAGACACGGTTTCTTTATTTTGCACTGTTGTCCTGGAACTTGCTCTGTAAGCCAGGCTGGCATCAAACTCAGATCTACCTCCTCTGCCTCCTGAGTCCTGGGATTAAAGGCATGCACCATTACTGCCTGGTGGCTTTTATTACTTTTTAAGGAAATAATTTGGGGCTGTGATTTTTGCATCTGACAAATTTTGTTTTAGCAGCTTAATGTCTAGCACAAGGCAATACCATTATGTACCATCGCTTTGCTTTTCAGAAAGAATGGTGCTCACATCAATTTGGGTTCCGTTTACTGAGTGTGTTTTCACTTTTCTCATTATTTAGAAAGAGGGAAGCAATGGCCACTTAAAGTGAACACTTGGGTACTTAGTGCCACTCGGTACTTTTAGAAGCGTGCTAATACTGACTTTATGGTGTGATTTTATGATACAGACCAATCATGTGCATTTTCTACACATAGGAAACCATTAGAGGACACACTCTGATTAAAAATTAAACAGTGAAAGGTAAATCAAAGCAATTCTTTTTCTGTAAATATGTTTTGGTGCTTAAAATAATAAAAATAAAATATTTTGTGCTTTCTCCCCGGCAGAAGGTGCAGTTGTGCCATGAGAACGACAATCAAAACCTCGCTCAAGACTATGTCCTCTCTTACAACTATGAAGGAAGAGGCTCGGCTGCTGGCTCTGTGGGTTGCTGTAGTGACCAACAGGAAGAAGATGGGCTTGAGTTTTTGGACCATTTGGAACCTAAATTTAGGACATTAGCAGAAATATGTGCAAGGAGGTGAAGAACTCTAACAGGACAACCAAACTAATGGATTTATCCCCATTCCCCTTGCTTTTAAATATAAACCAGGATTTTTTTTCAAGAAAAAAAAAGATGTTATATTTGGCACTCCCCAGCAATGTGTCTTGGTCTGCAGAATCTCCATGGAAATGCACATTTACAGAGAAACTTGGTACACTAGTACACTTGAACTTGAAAACTATTTTGCATGGGTTTTGAGTACTTCTTTTTTAACCAGGTGTCATCTACTGATATAAAACTTTAAGGAAATTCACATTATTGTTTACATTGGGCATAATTACATCAGCCAACTTACAGTGCAATAAATTTAATGGGTCTGAGTCTATTTATGGACAGCTTAACCTATAACCCAATTGGAGATTGTAGAAACAGTTTTCTCCAGTTAATGGATTAATTGATTTTTCATATGGTGCTTGGAAACTGTTGTTTTCCCAAACATTCTAAACTGTATATACTGTGTCTTGCATTTGTTATATTCTTGTAACTTGGCCTGGTTACATGGTACTAAGGTAGATGGCCAGGCAGCCATTGAGTGTGTTTGCAGTCCCATGCTAGTGGGGTTTGCTTTTACACTCTATTCTGGGTGAAATCCTACACTGAATCTATGTCTCCTTTGTACTCACTTTGTCAGTTAAATTTAGATTTCAAAACTTCTTTAAAATGTTTTTTTGTTATTCATACAAGTTTTTTTTTTGTGAAATAGCAAATGGTCTACACCATCATACCCTCTCCATTTCTTTTTCTCTTTCTCTCCTGTCTGTTTTGAAACTTGTACTTGTGTTGAAGAATTCAAAATATTCTCTTTTTTTTTTTTTTGGTTTTTATGGACAGGGTTTCTTTGTATTGTTTTGGAGGCTGTCGGTCCAGCCCGGCCTTGAACTCACAGAGATCCGCCTGCCTCTGCCTCCCGAGTGCTGGGATTAAAGGCGTGCGCCACCACCGCCCGACAAATAAATAATTCAACATATTCTTAAAAGTTGTCTCTTCTCATAAAATAGCCTTCCTGTGGTATGTAAGCATTTACATTGTCAGTTCTCTTAAGGTCAATGTAATAGCAACTTGTTCGGTAATTGCTTCATTTCTGTCCTTAGTGAAGAATTTTTGTTTTTTTCGTTGAAACTTTAGGACTCTTTTGTGATCTATCTGAAGCAATATTCTGTATAACAGAAACAATAATGTAGTTAGAAGTAGAATGTGGCTATCTAGTATAGAATAGCACATTTACGATCTCTAATTCAGGGACACTGGACATGGGAAATAGTGATGGTGTTTAAAGCTCAGCATAAGATCTCAAACAATCTCTGGGATAATGATGTTGTAACTCTTTAAATAATATAGCTAGTCATAATTACATGATTGTAAAATTATTTTTAAAAAATAGTTTGTTGTTACAATTTTTACCAAATTTAGAAATAGGCCAAATAATTTTAAAAATTTTAAGAATTTACACATTAGTAAACTTCATAGCCAACTAAATTCTAGAACAGAGGTCATACTTCCTTCAGTAAGTTCAGCATTTACACTAGATGCATGAGTATTCTAGGCACAATTCCGATGCATGAGATTGTTCATGGTGTGTCTGTCTTGAATTCACCAGGTTGGCTTATAACAATTATTTTCCAGAACAAATATTTGAAAAAATTTGGAATGCCAGCTATGTTTGCAGCAGAGTCATTCTTATTCAGTCAAAAATATTTCTTAGTTATGTTTAATAAATGATATACAAAATGATTGTGTGCTAGTAGTGATGATAATGTAAACTGGGCAACTCTAAGCTTCTTGGTGGGTTTGTTGCCCTTGGGTCTCATATGAGTGTGAGCAGTTATAATATAGGAACCAGCTTCCCTTTCTCAGCTACTGTTCCTAAGACTGTACAATCAGCTTGATTCACAGAGCTACCTGGTTACCAATCACTCTCAGTATCCCTGTGCTGTGGCACTGGATAATTTGCATACCTTTGTCATCTTAAGATGAAAGATCATTTTAGAATTCTTACCACTATGTTTAAAGACACTTGAATTAAAAGAAAAATGTGTGTGCTTGCTGTGTCTTAGTTGGGGTTATTCTTGCTGTGTTGAAGCACAATGTTTAAAACCAACTTGGGAAGGAAATAGTTTATTTACTTACATAGATGAATTTTAAGAGGGGGGCAGGGTTAAGAATACAAAATGATCTATCTAATGTTACCCCAATAGTAATAAATGATTTTAAATATGTCATATATACAGCCCCTTTAATACCAATAATAACCAATTAAGGAAATGGGACAGTGGAGTCTATTTTGAGTTGACATTTGCCATTTGAGAATGTGTATCTTCATAATGATCGACTGATGACTAACTCTCATATGTGCAGTTTTTCAAAACACATCTGCAAACATCATTGAATCGTATGTACAGGACTGCCTGGTTTGTCATGCTATGGATGTACCAGGTTCATGCAGATTGACAGAAGACTAGCCACTTCTTATATGACTGATTATTCTGAAGTCCTCTGAATTAAAACTTTACCTGGAAGGCACTTCATCAGTAGCTCTCCTACAGGTCCTACCAGACATTAGCAATGGATTGCTGCGAGTTCATAGCTCCTTCTAATCAACACAGAAAACCACGGTACACAGGTTCCAGAGGGGATTCCCTGACACAGATCCCATCACTCTCCTTACTGGGAATGGCCTTTGACGTGCCAAATAATCTCTCTGGCCCTAATTTCCTACCTTGTGTTGAGAGGGGAGAGGAACGCTCAAAGGGACTGCAGGCAAGGATGAGTTAATTCCAGAAGACTTGTTACAGAATTGCACTGAGGACACCTGGACCACTGCCACTGATATGGGCAATGCTTAGGGGAGTCATCTCTGCTGTTGTCTGCCACCAGCCCTGGCCATCTATCTAAGAAGCCTAACTAGCATCTTACCTAGGATGGACTTTGGGACTGTGTGGTTCAGAATCGTCTCTACACCTCATTCTTACAGTTGTGAAGGCTCTGTTTCACTCATCTATAGCCCAAGAATCAGCATGAGAAGTCTTGAGACGACAAAAAAGGAAGGGATGCTTCCTAATCAGCCATCATTGTATCAAGAGGCAAAATTTTAGGGATTTTTTTTTTCAGAGAAATGCATGTGACTACATCTTCACTAGGAGAAAACCAATGGTGCTATATTGTCAGTGAATTCACTATTTCTTTCTTTTTTTCTTTTTTTTTTTTTAAGACAGGATCTCATTATGTAGCCCAGTCTAGCCTCAAACTCATGACCTTCCTGCCTCAGCCTTCCAGGGAGGTACAGTGAAGTTTTATTTTGGGTTTCTCTTTAGCCATTTTATACAGCTGTTTTCTTGTCTAAATTTGTCATCTTAACATGAGGTCTTTAAAAATGTTTTTTGAGATTTATAATAGAATTACATCATTTCTCTTTCTTCCCACCAAATTCCCCCATGTAGCTCTCCTTGATCTCTTTCAAATTCACAGCCTCTATTTTCATTGTTATTGGTTACATATGGATACTTGTATATGCACTTATGTCTCTAAATATAACCTACTCAGTCAGTATATGTAATGTTATTTGTATGTATTTTTGCAGGGTTGATCAATTTGCATGCTCTTCCGTGGTGAAGACTTTCTCTCACTCTTAGAATCCCTTAGTTGCCTGCAGTTCTTGGTGTAGGTTTGAAGCCTTGTGGGCTCCACCATGTCTCACCCCATCCATTTTACTATGTCTACTGCCCTTGATCAGCTCGTGTTTAGACAGTCATGTTGGAGAGAGACCTTGAGTGTAGCTTCTGACAGTACTAAGAGATACAGCCTCACAGTTAATTCCCTGACACTGTGGCTCTTAGAATCTTTCTGTCCCCTCTTTCCTAATACTCCCTGAGCCTTAGGTGAGGAGATTGTTTTGTAGATGTATGCACTTGCAACTGGGCACCACACCTCTACTTTTTGACTAATTGTGGTTTTCTGTTGTGAGAAGAAGTTTTGTTGATGAGTGATGAGGAATATACTTATCTGTGGGTATAAGGACAAATTTTAGATCATTGATAGGGATTATGCTGGTTTAGTAAAGTGGTTTTAGATTTTCCTCCAAGACATGTAACTTCGATAGCTTTTGGCTAGGTATCCAGTGCCAGGCATATTTTCTTTCTTGTTTAGTGGATCTGAAGTTCGATTAGAGAGCTGTTGTTTACCTCTATGGTATGCGTACCATTAAACAGCATCCTTAGGGTTAACATACCATGCTGGCCGTTGATTTGTAGGTAATAGTGGAGATGTAGGACTGTTGGTTGCATTCATCCTTTGAATGGCATCTTATGGTACTATAAAAGCTAGTCCTCAAGGAGTCAGGTCACTGACCTCCAGGCCTTCTTTCTGAAGTGTATGATGTCTTCAGTAACAGGGACTTACCTTCCTCCTCTGCAGGACAACCAAGGACAGTAGCAATAGCCTATAATGTTTTGGGAGTCTCTTGGACAGCCCTGACCAACGACTCAAAAGGGCTTCTCATGCCTGGTGTTGGGTTTTTGTTATATGGTCTTTGGCTCTTGAAAGGAGCTTTGTTAGCCCAGATGAGAAAAAAAATCATTTAAACTATATGTGTATTTATACTCAGACTTTGATATAATATAGTTTTTTAGGAAGATAGTTAATAGTATGATTTCTTATGACCTTTTCAGATATTATTATTGTTATTTTACCCCCCTCCCTAATTAGAACCCCTTCCTTTTCTCCATTTTCCCAATCAGATCACTTGTAACCGGATATTCCTTTTTTTCTATTGCCTCCCTGTACCCTACCCCAGTAGTAGTCCCCTTTCTACTTTGCTGATTTGGGCGATTACTCCAAGATCTGACATGGGTTTTTAATCTTTTGCTGACCATGACCTTCCTTGTTAGTCTCCATGTCTATCCCCCCTTTTTTGGACCCAGATAAAAATTCCTTTTGTTGTTGTTTCCATTGCAGGGACTTGAATTTAGGGTCTCTCTCATGGAAAGCATATACATTTTCATCCCCGAGCTGATGCTTGGCCAAGCCACTGCTGTAATTTGGGGAAGTAAAATGTTCTTTCCTTCTGTTCCCTTCAAACCTCCTTAAACAACAAAGACTTGGTATCTATCAAGCTTATATAGGTCATGCTCAGTTCCAAGAAAGCCCTGATGAGACTCTTCATTGTGTAAAAAAGAGAAATACATTTTGCTACCCTATCAGATGAGGTCCTCCAAACTCCTGTGTCCATGATTTCCTTCTAGCTACTTGGGCTTGAAATAGGGATCTTTGATTCCTGTCTCCTGACCAGACATCTTGTTTGTTGTTTGCATTGTCAAACTTCCTGAGAATTTTTTAAGCAATCTCATTCATGAAACCATTACTCAGCCGCTATTTGATGCCTTCTATGTGCAGTCACCCATGACCTTCCCTAATGTGCACACAATGACTGCTTTCCATGAGAAAGGACACAATGAATCAGCTCCTCAACCCTCCTGCACCCCCTCCTGCAGGTCAGGACACGCAGGGTGTGGATAAGGTATGGGTTAAAGCTTGTAAAACGCACTTGACGCCTAGAATATGGTAAACACTCAAGGCGTGTGAAACAGCTCCCAGCAGTATAAAGAGCAAACAGGTGCCATAGTCGGGGAAGTTACCCTTCTCTCTCCAGCTCTTAAAGAAATACATACGTGTGTACATATGTACATAGATACATACACAAATGTATGTATTGTTTTTAGTTATGTGGGAGTGTGTGTGGGATGGTGTAGTGTGTATGAATGAGTGCAGGTGTCTTTGTAGGCCAGGGGAGGACTTCCGTTCCTGGGAGCTGCAGCTACAGACAGAGGTATACTTCACTATGCAGGTCCTGGAAACTGAGCTGTGGTCCTCCTCAAGGGCAGTGCTCACTCTCAGCTGCTGAGCTGTCTTTCCAGAACCCCTGCCACCATCTACAGTCTTCCCAACAATACCTGCTCATTGAACCCTCTGCAGGTTAGTAACTGGAGTGTTGAGTCCACGCCTCTCACTTTCTCTATCACTACTATTCACCCAGTTGCCGTTTGAAGAGCAATGGGTATCCAGCTGACCATGGGTCTGAAACATAGAATCACACTGAGCTACTGATCTCTGTACTCTACATGGTCTCTGCTGTGCAGATGGTTGTCAGTATGTTTGTGCAATTATGCCAGGTGGGAGGTGTTGAGCTGAGCTAGATCATTATGTACAGACAGCACTGCCACAAACCTGTCTTGCTCATGATAGGCCTGTTGCAACTGGCTCACCCACTGTCCACTTCTTCCTGTGTGAAAATAGGACTCTCCTATTTTCAAATATCATCTCCTCCAAAAGGGAAGATGTCTGTGTGCCCAGAGCACAATAGTATAGCTTTCACTCTTGGGTTTGTACATATGTATGTGTTTCTTCTCACGGAAGAAATTCATGAAGAGCAGAATGGTGTTTACATTTTCATGTCATCAGAATGCTGCTGTCAGCACATTTTGATAAGACCAAATTGTATTGTCTAGGCCACAAAGAGCAAACACATAAAAAATATATATTAGAGGTTTGGTTTGCTCATTGCTTTCTCTTGGAATAGATATTTTTGGGCAGACAGTGCATGCACTATTCTTCCCTCATGTGGGGACATTAAATAAATAGAACACAGAACATTTCCCTTTGCCATTCAGCACAGCAAAGAGAAGCACCGGGGTTTTTGGATTCCCATCCTGCTTCTGTACTGTGTGGTGTGGGTGGCAGAGAGCAGGACTTCCAAGAGGTGTGACACCGAGTGTTACTGCTTCCAGTCACCTCTACTTCCATCACCGTTAATCATGTAAGCCACGTCAGCGAGTTGTGACCCATGGGGGTCTTGCCTGTCTTCTCCAGTGTTGTCCAGCAGTAAGCATTTAGAAAGGGTTGATGGGTGAAATCCAAGTGAAGGAGTTCAAAATGGCTTCGTACCTGACCAAGATTGCATTGTGATGATTTAAGATTCTCTGTCCCCCTTACTTTGAAACTCATTTATCAACATGAGAATTACATATGAGACTCTCTATTGTCACACGTTCCAACATGCTACTGATTTTTTTTTAAACTGAAGCATCACTTTCTGGAAAAGTACAGCTAAGAGCTCCTTGCATTGATGAATTCATGAAAGGATTTCTGCAAGTTTGCCAAAGTCACTTTATTTATGAACTGCTGTTAAGTCAAACCTCAGCTCAAGAAATGTCATGAAATGAGTAGGCAGTGTTGGGGTCACAGGTCTGAACTCTGCCTCTATTACACAGGAAGAGCACTGTGTAATGCACTGTCACGCTCACATACACACTGAGATGGAAACCGTCAGACGAAAACCCAAGATCTGAAAAAGAAATAGATGGCCATGAGCCTCCAAGGCAGTCCATTCTTTCTAAAGACTTATTTATCTCTATATGTTGCATGTGCATGTACAAATAGGGCATACATGTGAACATGCAAGTATGAGTGTGATTGTGTGTGCACACAGTAACCAAAATAGGGCAAGTCCTTCTCTGCCACTCTCCACCCATTCCTCTGAAGGAGTATCAATCTCTCCAAGTCTGGGGCTCACATATCCTCAGCCAGAGTCACAGCCAGTAAGCCCCAGGAGTCCTCCTGTCAACACCCATTTCAGAGCTGAGGTTACATGTTACATGTGTATACTAGCTCCATGCATGAACGCTGGGATTAGGATTCCAGAGGTCATGTAAACACCTTTAACTGCTGAATCATCTCTCCTGCTGCCCCTGGGTCATGGGGATGCTTTAAAGTTAAGTGTCAGTGTAGAAGGAAGTCTGTATGCCGCCATTAAACATGTGACTTACTAGAGGCGCATACAGATGAGGTAATAAAAGGGCGGTTTACCACACCGCTAACCACACCCACTTTAGGCAGGACTAAAGACGTATATGGCCGGATGTAAAGACGTATACGTACGTAGGCGGTGAACTACGTCACTAGCCAGGCCCACTTTTGGGCATGGCTAGGGGGGGTTACGGGGGAAGGTATAAAAGACAGTACACAGGAAGTCTCGCTCTCTTTCCCGGAGTTCGGCTTCCGGTTCGGCAGCGGGAAAACTACTTGGCTCATCTGGGTTACTTGTTTGGTATCTTGTGAGTAATTTCTACAATAAATACTTAGTTTTACTTTCAGTAAGTGTGTGTCGCTTATCGTTACAGTGTCATTTGGAGCTACATGTCAGTAGTAGTGACTTAGCTATTGGGTTTATACATTATTTGGGGGGTTTATGAAACAAGTAACTTACAAAACATAAGATACAAACATTGTAAGCCCAACACTTGGTTGACACAGAAGGATTATCCAAGTAAATAAATGAATGCATAATCCAATGAAAATTTTCAAGAGATTTATTTATGTAGTACCTTAAAGAAAATGCCAGTACTACAGAATTCGAAGCACATTTGTTAGCAAAATGCTCCAGCTTCAGCAAATTAAGCATCTCAGAAGATAAGCTCCTACATGTCACATGGATGTAAACTGTTGGCACAGGAGTATGACTGGGAAGAACGTGGACAAGTCTACGTAGCAAGCAC